ATGCTCTTTTTTTCATAATACTTGCGTCTCTTTACGCATAAAGTAATAATTTAACAGTCGGAACTTTGCGAAACAATAAGCATCGAAATCGAAATGAGATAATGTTTTATATTCAAAGCTCGTCCCGATTTGCGAGTGTTGTGTTTCCCTCTGCGTCATTTAACTGCGCGTTATCCAATTTTGGGTTTTTGGCACGTGCCTGGTAAATTCGTGGCAAGAAGCTCGTAAGTCGAAATTCGAACAGACGCTTTGACGCGTTAGAAAGATTTTGTAAAACGAAAACCAATAAACCGAAAACAAGGAAATAATATATTTTGAATCGGTGGAATTTATATTAGTATCTATTGCAAAAATTAATTCATCACTCATGCATATGTATAGTAATACATATAATCTAATCTTTGCATTATTATATTAAATCAAGTAACTTTTTGAATTTAAAGCATTGCTTTATGTTTTTAATAGTAGACTAGAGTTTATGCTTAGAGAATTAACATAGCACTGTGTAATAATTATATTTTATATTGAAAAAAAATTACTCACTTCGTTGTGATTGATTTTGGAATCATCGCAATCACCACCAGCAGTTAGATCTTGCTTTTCTGGGTCAATTTCCTATAAAAAAAAATATAATCTTTTTAGAAATGTTTAAATATATATTTAATTTTTATCAAATAATTTTTTAATCTATTCAAAGTCCTGTCTTATTTTCATTATATAATTCTTACTAACATCCATATCTACATGGACTACGCCTGTCGATCTTCTCTTAGGCCGACGTCTCCTTTGAATAACTGCTTGTGTAGCTTGTGCGTTTCTACTATCATTTTCCTTATCTTGTTCTATAACACACAAAAATTTCATCTTTTTAGATAAATAATCAATACTTCATGAATTAATACAGTACTTCTATTAATATACATAAAATTCCTGATTAAATTCATTATGTTGTTAATTATTCTGTAAAATTTTACCTTTGTCATCAGGTTGCTTTAACGATCTTCTAAGGGGTAAAGTAACTGTGGTTTCTGTACTACTGGTGGCAATAGTCTCCACGGGCGCTGATGATGGTCTAGGTACACCAGTTCCACCAGACGGTCTTCTCATATAGGTCGTATTATCAGTAGGCTTATTATTAGCATCCTCTAACTGAAACTATATAACAAAATATATATTATAAATCTTGATTTTTACAATAACATTCGTGATGCTTTTCATTAGCAATTAAACTTCCGTATATTACATCTTCAAATGCATTGCGGCGTAGCATCAATCATACAGATAACCGTGAACATTTGTGAATTAGTCATAAATAAATGATTTTTTATAAGCGCACACACCTTACTTCCATTGTCTACCCTTAATCTCCAAGACGGTCGTCTCTCAGGTAAATTAGATTCTTCAGAAACTTTATTCACAGGAGTCACAGTAGTGGAAGTTGCGGTTGTTATCGTAGCTGTGATCGAAGCTGTATTGCTGACGGTGGTGGTGGTAGTAGTAGTAGCAGTAGTAGTAGTAGTAGTAGTAGTGGTAGTAGTAGAAGGCTGGATTATTTAAAAAAAAAAAACATGAATAAAAATCGTAATCTCAATTTTAAATGTCATGCTGCGTTATTTTTGTGTAAGAATATAATAAAAAATAAAATATTATATACTCTCGATGTCAAGCAACACAAATAGTTCATTGTGAAATCTAGTTCAATTAGATCTTCATGAAATTTATTACGTTCAATCGTTAATGCTGCACTACATTCACTACTATTGCTCTCACACTAGATAAGTTTGCCTTGATATTTTGATACCATTTAAAAAGAATTCGTTCGGACATATCAAATCAGATAAGTTAGTCACTTCTCCAATCACACGATAAGACAGCGATAATAATACTGATATGATCTTTACCTGCGTGGATGGTGCTGATGCCGGCAATTCGTTGTTCTGTTGCTTTTTCTTCACTAATTGTTCAGCGCTCTTAATCTCGTCCAATGTCACACCTTGAGTAGACCTTCTCGTTTCTCTTACTCTCTTTGCATGAGCTTTCCTTTGAGTTTCACTTTCTTCATCGCGTACGGGTGGAACGAAAGATCTGTACATATTCATACAATAATACATGAAGTATCAATTTACGAGTTCCAAAACAAAAGATATGTAATATTATCAGATTGTTTTATCCGTGTAATAAAAACAAACTTTTTTTAGTAAGCATGTTCAATACAATTTGTAAGCAATATCAAAAAAATTCGAAATATAACACAAAATAATACAAATATACATATTCCTGTAAAAGAAAATAATTAAAATATCTCTTCTTTCAGGTACACCTTTGATGTTATGTATTACATAATTTCAATTTCTTCCTTGTAGTAGTGTATTAATTTTGAAATTGATTAGAAAACTTGAAAAAAAGAATAGAGCCGTAATGCTTAACATTGAAGAATTGTTCTGGTCAATATATTATTTTCACAGAATATTCATTTTTGTTACAATGAATTATATTGAAAATATCATAAAATATTTAACAAAACATATCAAATAAAACGTATTTGTGTGTGGCAGTGTTCATTTGCCAACTACTAACAGGTAGTATTTAGGCAAATTTGATAAATTCATATGTGTAGTGGATAAAGTGACTATCCAAATATATATATATATATATAGGACAATGTGCAAATAAAAATAATCACACTGCAAAAAGCAAACTTCCATGCTACTGCCAACAAATTAACGTAATTAATACGTAAATATTTGACAATATGCAAAAGTCATAATATTTCAGGAGGATCTTCCGAGCAGTGAGTACCCACTTGAAGAAATTCTTGAAGAGATTTCCTGGACTTAGCTTGCTCCCTCCTGGTGTAGTGGGAGTTCCAGGAGCAGTTGCTACTGCATTATTTGTATTCGATACAACTGTAGATGCAGCTTCCACTGGTTGAACACTACCCAGCCACATTAATTATAACGCACAATACAGAATGTAAATATATGTTTGTCGATTGTGTGTACATGTGATAATGTATTTTGATGCAAATAAATGCTTTTATCTTTAAATATCCTTAAAAAAACCCGCGCCTTAGAAAAACCCAAACATTTACACAGTATTAATTATATAACAAAAGTAAAGATATAAGCATTAAAATTTTTATAGTTTTACGTAAAATAGTTAAAATTTAGAACATTTATTTCATGTAGAAAGATGTGAAGTTAAATAACACATATATGCACAAAAATATTACGTATAAGGATTCGATTTTAATTATTTGGAGATATTGTAGAAAGATGACTAAAAATTTTACGACCAGTATCTTTTACATTTCGTAAGACAGTGAAATACTGCAGTCCACTAATTTTATGTAAAATAGTTTGAAAAATGTCATTTCTAATATTTAGACAATATTTAATAATATAAGTGTAGATCCTTAGTATAAAAATTTTTTTACCTGCGAATTTGATTGACTGGAATAGGACTTGTTGTTGTAGTGGCAGTGGTAGTTGTTGTGATGGATGACAATAGACTCGATACCAATGTTTTAGATGCAGATGTTGGTGAAAGTGTATTGCTTCCTTGTGGCAGTCTTGATAATTCCAAATTTAATTTCACGTCTTTCTTTCTAGAGTAAGAATAAAATAAATAATTTAAAAAAAAGGAATAATTTGTAAAATAAACTATCAAAAATGTGCATTTTAATGACGTTACCATATTCAGAAGTATTAGATACCATGATATCTTCCATTTATTAATATTTCCATGAATAAAATAAAATAACTTTTGTAATAATATTTTAGAATAGAATTTTTTGAATATGTTTTAATTATATATACTTTAAAGTTTATTCTTAAAAAAAAATGCAGTAAAATTATACATTTCTATATTTTCTAAGTTCTTTATTTAGTCTCAGTTATGTGATATGTCAAAACAGAAAATATTAAAGAAAAGAATTACTTTAAAATATGCATATGTAAATTTTCGTAAATAACTAATTTTGAATTTATTAAAAATTAATATCTTTGATCTGATTAGCACTATCATGTGATTTAATTTAAAGCTTTTTAAAGTTTCAAGCTAGGCTAATAAATAGCAAGCGACATTAAAAGCTCATTAGTACAGAATGTATTAAAAAAAACAGTAAAATCACATTCTCACACACTTTCAAATAATGCAAATAATATGATACTTTCGCAGCAGTCTACATATTATACAGTATAATCATAAACAAGTTGAGTAGAATTACTGAATTAACATAATTACAATTGATATTGTACAAGTAAAAGCTGTAACATTAGAGGCATGCGGCATATACCTGTGTGTTTCGCGTAGAGATGCAGAGCGAGTCGTAGCATTGGTGTGAGTAGGAGTAGCTGCATTGCAGCGATGGAGGGTAGGGCACGAGAACGCCTTGATGCGGGCACGTAATGCCAAATACTGCTCATAAAACCTGCATCACATGCATTACCGTGCCATGCATATCTCTACACTAATTATCATAATAGTATAGGGACATACGTTACAAATATGAAACGCTAAGACTCATAATTAATGCGGACACATAGAGTATGCATATTATACAATATCTTAGTTGGAACGTAGCACCGCTGTTAATAGCATTAAATATATCATTACCAAATAAAAAGACACGATATTGTTACAAATATAAAGCTGCGAACTTGTAATATATAAAAAAAAAAGAATAATATATAAAGCAGAAGACTTAACTAAACTTACTTTTCATCTGTCTCGAAACTATGCGTTCTTCTTAATACCACATCGGGCTCTGCACTAACTTTGTTTGGTGTTGTTGGTATTTTAATATTGTTATCCTTATCTTCAAGTTCTGTGAAATAATTATGTAAGTTTATTAATAATTTAACAGGAAAATTCGTGAAATATCGCATCATTCAATGAACATACTTGTAGATGCAGAATTAGTAGTTTCAGTACTTTGCATTCTATTTCGGAAGGAACCTGAACGTCTCCAAGATGGTACAACACCGTCCTCATTATTATCAGTCTGTTGTTTTGGAGGCAATATTGGAGCCTTAAGAAAGAAAAATCAGATAAATAAGCAACAAAGCTAGTTATATAAGATTTTTCAAGAATATGATATATATACACACACACACATATAAAAAGATGATTCATGATTCAAAAACAGATGTCTTACCTGATTAGGAACTTTATTAGTTTCAACTGGAGATATTGGACTATGGGGTGCACTTTCATCTTTGTTCACTCTATTTTTCTTTTCTGTAAAATAATTGAACAAACACTTTACTGCAACTATTAATTTTATGAAAGAAGTATTTAAAATCCACACTCTTTAAAGCAATAACCAATCCAGTAAGTTTTATTTAAGAGAGATATTTTGTCACAAAATTTTTATATAGTATACACATGCAATAATAAGCAATAACTTGTATCATCAAAAAAAAAAGAGAGAGGGAGAAAAACAGTCTTACAGATCAAACTTACCGTCATCTGTAAGACATGTCGCGTGGTTAGACTTATCAGATTGATTGGAGAAAGTGGAAGAGTGTGATTCTGAGCTAGTCTCAGATTCACCTTCACCATCACTCTCTTCCATGTGTGTTTCACGTGTTGCTTCTGTCCATGCAGCAATGTTATAAGAAATACACATTACAGTTAACGGTAACATAAATTAGATTCGCAAAAGTGGACAATAGGATAAAGATTTGTGAGAAAATAGTTTTGCAAAACATAATTATACTCTTTCCTTTTTCTTCACATAAAAGATAAACATGGAAGTTGCAGAGTAGATAGTTATTTCATATCAATGTAATCACCTCTTAAAAAAAAAAAAGAAAAAATTACGTCTAAAAATTATATACATATATTATTAGAAAAAAAAAAATATATAAACGTGCGGATTAGACCGTATATTGAAAGGAATAGTACAAGAAGAATCTTACCAACATCGCTGTTTGTACTAGTGCTGGAATCTTCTTTATCAGATTGAATCTCTAATTCAACCTTCTTAACTTTATTTGGCGTTTCTTCTTCAAAGATTTCTGTAGATTCTTGTGCCGCTACCGCATTATCAGCACTCGTTGAGAAACTGTAACATTTAGAAGTATATATATTAAGAGAAAAAATAACAATTACAATCTGTTATTTAGAATTATCATGTTGCTTACCGTTTCTTTGGTATAGACGATTGCTTCTTGTTATTTGTTTGTGAATTTTCTTTGCTAAGTGCTTGTTGCTCTCTCAAATTTTCAAGAGCTTTAAGGATGTCTGCATCAGCAATATCAAAAGCAGTTTGATCCTGAAAGCAAAATACTGATGAAAAAAGAAACAATAATATTAATTGATTACATTTGTCAATCAAATCTAGCCTGGATTCAGATTAAATTAATCTAAAGCCTGGGGCTAATTTAATCCATACACAGTCTAATTATAATTATTAGAAATATTTATTTTCTTACGGCATAATTTTTCATATCCATATCACAGCCGTTCTCAACAAGAAGTTTGCAAGCTTCCAGTTGACCCCAATGCGCTGCACCGTGCAAAGGCGTCCATCCATCAAAGTCCTGTGCATCAACATTGCATCGAGCTTGTAGTAATATGCTGCACAGAAATATTAAAGAATACAATAAAAAGAATCAATCCTAAATCTGCACTTAACATATTACAAAAATTGTTTTATTTTTAAAATAATTTTTATTTTATTGCACTGCGCGTCATATGATACAAGAGATGTAATTTTCGAGATGTAATTTTCGATACAAGAGGTGTAATTTCCTACAATATTCATTTATTTATATCTAACATCAAATAATCTCTTACTTTTAATTAAGATATAATGTCTTACTGCATGACTTTGATGTAGCCTTTGGCAGCGGCGACATGAAGTGCCGTGGCTCCTGATCTCGGATGCATGGAATCTTTGCCTGGTGCACCTGACCGCCAAGCTTTTGCATCATTTAACATTGACCGTTCTTCTTCGCTCCTAGCTTGATCACAATCAATGCCTGCACATAAAATTAAATTTTTTAATAAAAAATTGAATTAAATTTATTTCGTATATTATGCGCGCGCGCGCGTGTGTGTGTGTGTGATAATTTATAATTTTTTTAGCTTAATTTATTTTAATAATCTGTATTTCACAAATATGTTTAACTTTCATTTTATCAGCAAATTCAATTATACTTCGTAAGAAACGTTTCATATCCTAAATATTTCTATACATGTAATTACATACGTAAGGTGTAGATGATGCATAATATTGCTTAAGAGAGTATTTCAGCATTGTACGTAAAATTATATCAACATCACGAAAAGAGGTCAATGAAAGAGGATATCTTTGCCAACGTATGATTTGTGTCTGAGTATGCAAACTTCTAGCCGGATATTGAATTTTGCCTAATGTTTTACATATGAAGCGTTTATACTTTATATAGATAGTTAAGTATAACATCTAATAGCTTTATAAAGCTTTATAAAGCTAATATTTAGATAAAGAAGTGATAAAAAACGGTGGCTAATTGCCACTTATGTAGTTAAATTGTTTGAAAATTATTGCAGCAGAGATATTTCAGTATTACGATTTCCAGCTTTGATTTTCCTCGGAAGTCTATAATTAAAAGTTTTACGCAATAGAGAGGCCTCAGACATCCTGCAGGTACACATATAAATACAAACCTGCTTTATTTATATGCTGTTGGAGCATGTCTTCCATCTCGTCGCTTTCTGCAATATCCAGCGCCAGTTCACCGTCATTGTTTACTGCTGCCAGATTACATCCTTGTTCTATTAAGTATCTATAAAATACATAATTGTCCATTTATTGTAATACACGTGATTAGCACATTTATTGATAAATTATGTATATAAATCTAAGGAAAAATAGTTTATGTAAAAACTATACTAACTTAGCAATAGATATGAATCCACAAGATGCTGTGGCATGTAAAGGCGTCCAGCCTTCATTATCTCCACGATTGATATCCGCTCCTTGTTCCACCAAAAACTCCACCATATCCAGGTCATCATCAATGCAAGCCTGTTGTAATAATATAATGTGAATATAATATATCATATGCTGTCCGTTGATTACATCAACGTGCGTGAGTACACAAGTTGGACAAGAGTTGAAATCGTGCGCGATTGGCAAGATGTATTTCGAGGTCTCGACATCGAGACCACCAATTTTGCTCGGTCTAGTCAAGTCTGGTCGCAATCCAAGGCTCGAATCGACGTTATGTTATAAATGTGCTGCTTCGATTACATCATTACTTTTTGAAAGACCCCTTAAATGGAAGCAATATCTCTATATGATAATGGAATGTTTTATTATAAGATATGTAGTAAATTTATTGTAGTTAATTTTCAACATATTTCCAAATAGCATCATAAATACATAAAACATAGAGAAAAACATATTTATCGTTTAATCAGAATCTTCGTAGATATTTAATGCCCAGTAATCTTTCCATAATAGATTAAACAAACGGTAAAAGTATGAATTATTCTGTCGTTCAACATATGCAAATTTTCATGACTTTGATATTATCAAAATGAAAAAAAAGTTAGGTACATGTTACAACATTGCTAGACAGAGAATTTAAACTGAACACAGATGCTGCAGCCTGTGACTTCTAACAGAGAGCTATAAATAGCATTTGATGCCTGATGTATTTTCACATTCTATTTTCGCAAATCCATGAAATGCCTTAACTTCCTTCCTTCTCGCTTAAATAACAGTCATAAATATCGCTTCATGTTATGGAAAATGTTATTCCATTTAATAAAACTTGTACAAGACTACCGCTATTACTATACAGCAAATATCTCCTTACATTTATATGATAATATCGCGCTACATTTTTACGGTTTTCTCAAGCTTCGAAATCGTTAATGGTTGTTAATTAATTTAACTGGTAAATGTGCATTAAGAAATATAATTTAAAAAAATATATAAAACGGATACACTGTTATTATGAATATTTTTTATAATTGTAATTGTACATTTTAAAAAATATCGCCCATTATAATTTTTTATGACCCGCAAGATTTGCTTATTTAAATTTTTTTTTTTTTTTTAGCAGAATTTAATTATTCCATTTTTCTCCGCATCAGGGATTCTTACATGCCAACCGACCTCTTCTTCTCATTAATTATATCCTCATTAGTTACTTAGTACTGTAATAACCGTTATGGTATATATGTATGTACGGTGTCCCGGATTATCCAGTTGCGTCCGCTTTCGGAAACACCCAGAAATAGATTGCTCGTAAAAGCTTACCACTCGCGAAAAAAAGTTGTTGCCAGTGTGACAAGAAAATTGCTCTATAATTTCTAAGCATGCTCAGAATGATATTATAACTGCAAATTCTTTAAATATCAGCATGTCGAATTAATTTTTTTCACGATAAAGTTTTAATTTTATCCTCCTGATGTTTAACAACTGGAACTTACAATTAACTAAAAGATAGTATGGCAATTAAAGAGCCATTACAAAATAGAAACATTGAGATACTACAACAAGTTTCTTAAATTATTAAATAAATATAAAACAATCATACATCCAATTATTCAATACATAATAAGTCAAATAGACTGTTTTATATACACAATTACATACATCCATTATTTTAAATAATATCGAAATATGTTGGTCTCAGTTATTATCTCATAATCCAACATTTTCATAATAAATTCCAGCATGCTTTGTAAACTATGTTATAAAATAAACAATACATTTTAACAAACAAGCATAAATAATATTTTAATGAAAGGATGAGATCAGATTAATACTAAAACATTGTTCATTAATAGCAGTTAACTTTTCAAATTAAAGATTTATGAACTGCAGCTGTCTTGTCAGGCAACATAAAACGGAAAAAAAATATTTCTGAGAATAATATACTACTTTTAATGTAATTAAATAAATTTTTAGAGAATAAACAGATTTCTAAAAAAAAAAAATTTAATCCATTCTTAGAGTACATTTTGTATACAAAATTCTGATTTCTTTTTTATTTCTGTAAATACTTTTGTGATACTTGGATATTAAAATCTAACAAAACTTGATATAACATTTGTGTGCTTCATATATTTCTTCTGTCACGCTCATTTCCACCAATAATCGATTTTAATCTCGGTTTAATTTACTCTTTATCTTTTTTTAATTCTTGGATAGAGATAGGAGAAGATAAAAGTAAGTTAAACAGAGATTAAAGAATAATCTATATACAGTACATTCATAGAACTGAACAGAAGAAAAATGAGTAATGATCGAATTTTGACGAGTACCAAATAAAATAATTGACGATCAAACAGCATGTTATAATGTTGCACTTCAAAATAAAATACAAACACAATTATTAAAATGTTAAAATGCATATTTAAAAAAATCTAATACAAAAAAAATCATATTTCCAGGTTTATTCCGATTGCGTGAATATACATTCGAGTCACGGCAGCTAAACGCGGCACGTCAAAACATCTTATTTCAATAAAATTAGCATTTCGGTTACACAAGCGAGATATTACTTAAAGTAATCTCCTCACTAATATATATAACATAGTAATTAACGGTTGAAAGCAGACGTTGCGTTTGCGATCAGCGTGACGGTCTCTTGACGGGATTCCAACCGGGAAAAAGAGACAGAGAAAGAGAGAAAAAGAAAGAAAGAGATCTGTTTCCTTTGACACCGGCGTCGAATTGAACGACAACAATTGCAAACACACCCCCGCGAATAATTTTTTAATGTTGCGAATTATACTCGTTTCTATGTAAATTAACTTTAATTTCGATTTAATTCACTCTTCGTCCTTTTCAAATTCTTGAGACTAAAAAAGAGTAAATTAACCAAGATTAAAGTTGCTTTACATTGGTAAAGAGACTTTAATTTCGGTTTAATTTATTCTTCATCCTTGCCTAATTCTTAGGTCCAGTTCCACCAATATAAGATTAACTTTAACCTCGGTTCAATTTACTCTTTTTATATTTTTCTCATTGTAAGAATTAAAAAAAAAATAAACAGTAAATTAAACCGAGATTACAGTTAATCTTACATTGATGGAACGGGATCTTAGAACTACACTAGAAAAAGATAAAAAGTAAGTAAAAATCAAGATCAACCCTCAACTACAGCTATGAAAACTACATCTAAGTTCTAAAGTTATAATCTTGTTTGAAGTATCGAATAGAAGTAAATCTCCGTTTTGCAGCAATTGATAAAGAAAGGCTTAAAGTTTTGTTTACTTACAATTTAGAACTTTATAATATCAATCGTATAGATTATACAATCATCTAAAAATATTCACTTGAGGTCCAAATAGCCCATTGTTCTAGTCATAAGTTAAAGTTAATCTACATTGGTAGAAACGGGCGTTAGACAGCTGGAGTTCGTAGAAGCCATCTTGCAGAATTACGTTTACGCGGCAGGGAGGGAAGGAGGGAAAAGGAAAGAAGAAAGAGGAGGAAGGTAGAAGTGGCAGAACACTTTTTGGAGAGGAGGAGAAGGATGAGAACGAGGAAGGGGAGGGGAAGACTTGAAAGAGCTGTCAAAATTTCAGCGAGATGCCAGCGGGATGCCAATGAGAGACGCGCGTCCAGGGTGACTCGCTACCCTTAAGTACCTGGTGCAACGCGGTGAGACCGTCGACATTCCCGGTGTTGATGTCCGCTCCTCTCTGTAGCAGACGCACGACCTCCTCCTTGTCGCTGGCCGCGCACGCCGCCAGGAACACGATATCGGCGGAGAATTTGATCTTGCGCGCGACTTGGCGCGGTTGCGTGGGCTCGCGATTCGTCTCGGACTGCTCCCAACGCTTGAGCTGTTCGGCTCGCTTGAACAGGGCCGAGCTCGAACGTGTCTCGAGAGACATTGCCCCGACGACGACGACGACGGCGGCAGCGGCAGCGGCAGCGGCAGCAGCAGCAGCAGCAGCAGCGGCGGCGGCGGCGGTGGTAACGACAGGCGGTAGCGAGGAGGAAAAAAAGCGCGTCCTCCTCTTTCCTCAAGAGGGCAAGGCAGAGAAGCGGCAGGCTGCTCCTATAATCGCTCCTCTTGTCGCGCGCACGGGTTTCTCTCCTTCTTCTCGCACTCGCTTGGCACACACGCGCGGCCGCGCGGCGCCACACATGCAACCTTACGCACACGCGCACACAATCGCTCACTCATTCACTCGCACTTGTGACTCGTTCTTGTTGCTTCTTCGTTCTCTCCAGTTCTTTACTTCTCTCGGCCCGCCGCTCCCGTTCTCGGTTCTCCCTCGCAGCAAATTTCTTGTCCGTTTCGCTCTCTCTCTCTCTCTCTCTACTTTGCCCTTCTCCGCGCGCCCTTCGTGTCTTCTTCCACTTTGCTCTGCACGGCGGTGGCGGTGGCGGTGGCGGCGGCGGCGACGAAGACGATTACGACGATGACGACGGCGGTGGCGGCGACTGCGCTACGTGAACACGCACGCACGCACGTACGCACGCACGCACGCACGAACACATACACTCGCGTTTCACTGCGCGCGATACGGCACGTGAAACAGGCGTTTCCCGCGAATCTGCTCCATATATATGAGAGAACGGAACACACCCGGGGCCCGTGTTCCCCGTCCGAGTGTTATCGTCGATCGCGCCGGAGTCTCACGCCTTGACGAGGTTATCCGGAGGGAGCGGTCGTGTACGATCGTCTTCGGTCGGACACCACCTCTGCTAGGCACTCATTTACGGAACGGCTTAGATTCGCGTGCTACACGCTATTCTTGGCCGCGCTCCCTCGCGCTCCATGCCGGACAGGAGCTCGGACACGAAACTCTCGGACTCGCGTCGTCGCCAACGGGGCCAACCGTCGTTGTCCCTGAACAAATATTGACTAGGAAATTTGAATGGCGAGTGGCGACATCTTTGTCCCCACAAAGTGAGTTCTCTTATTGGATGTTGAAAAAATTCCTAGGGTGGTATTCGTAGTGGGATGTTAGACCGGAATCGGACTATCATCCGTATTTATAGTTTTTCCTTATTTTAAGGATAGAGGAAGCCTCCATGAAGGATTCCTCGATTCTCCAAGGCCTTCTTGTTTCATAAATGGATCTCAAGTCTGCCTTCCCATAGGAAAGAATATTTTAGGGATTTTAATAACCTACTGAAGGCAGCATGTCATAATATATAGTATATGCAAACCTAATATCATGAATTGCGAATAATAAAGATATTGTTAATTAAATAAAGTGGTGATTAAGCATTTTGCGACAATAATGGACAAAAATAAAACTAATAGTCCAATTTGATTGGACGCACTCACTGCGCACTGATGCACATTAAAACTACATACATAAAATAACGTAATATACATGTTTATAAATAAACATGGAAATTGATATTTATGACCGGTGTTCATAATTGGATCTTAATATTTAAGACCGTCTTAAGTAATGTTTTAAAATGCCAATACAGCTCTCTGATTGGTGACGTTTTTAAGACTAGCATTTTGCAAAAGTCTGTATTTGCTATCTTTTCTATTAATCATTTTTGTAGGTTCTATTCTAGTTTTACAATTTATTTTTAAGAATTTTTGCAAATTTTCCCTCTTATTATTATATTTCATACTTTGCCATTTGAAATTTTTTACGTATTAAGATTTGCACTCTGAGTGCAATTGAATGCAAACCGGAGTGTTAATAAATAATTTAATCTTTTTAATTATATATTCTTTATTGTCATGACAATCTTAGAAAGGATTAAATTATTTATTAACAATATTAACACTAAAAATATGTAACCGATTTGCACTCAATTGCACCAGTTGCACTAAAAAGAATGCAATGAATACAAATCGCACTTTATTCCCTAGTCGATGTTCGGAGGTATGGAGGTCATAAATTGCAATGCATCTTCCCATCCCATCAGACTATTATCTCGAGTGGCATGATTCATGCCGTAGTACTTGTTCTTTTTTTTCCTTCTTTACGCTTTTTCATCACCATGGGATATATAATTTTGATTTTCCCAAGACTCATCGTCGATTGAAGGTTAATTATCCCGTCTTTAGTAATTCTAAGCTAGGATAAGTCGCGAAAAAATTCGAGTGCGATCAATCTGACGAGATGGATACCGAGCACGTACTGAAGAACGACATCGGGCATTATCTGAAATTGATAGTGTCGGGAGACAATGCAGCCGTTAGCGACGGCTGGTTGATGCTGCAGAATCTGCAGGACCGTGAACTCGGTCAACTAATCGATTGCGAGGATACTCTGAGGGATATTCTTCGGGGTAAGATAGCGAACGTGTCGGAGGTGCCGAAAATCATGGCCTGGATGTCAGGACACATCGTGGAGAAACGTTTCAATATCAATCCTATTTCGAACGACGTCGCCCTGCTGCTACAGAACACGGACATCGACGACATGTCGCACTTAACTGAGCTTCTCAGCACATTGGCGGAGCACAGGGCATACCTGCCCCGGTCGGCGAATCATACGAAGCTCTGCGAGGCGATAGTTACAAGTCTGTCTTCCTTTCAAATGCCCTTGGAGCCGAAAAAAATATCCGAGTTCTATGACAACACTACTAAAATCCAGCATTTTCTCAAGGGGCTGTGTTCAAACATAAAGAACGGCGAGCGTGACATTCTAATGTTTACTTGTCTCCAAACTTTGTATAATATTATATCTGATACAAACAGAAAGCAGGAGCCAGGCCCGGGACTCGCTACCATATTACAGCTTGTGGAAGCTTCCGTTATTCCACAGGCGGTAGATTGGATCTTATCTCAGTCTCATACTGATCATCAATTGATACAAGCCTTAAAAGTTCTGTGCAATTGGCTACCGAAATGGCTTGAAGATCGACTGAGCGTTTGGATTATGGAATTCATACGTGGTTTGGAGAAACAACAAAAATATTCTACTCTTCTTGAACTTACAGAATCGTCGATAGATATACTAGTGTTAATGTGCAGCGTGTTGCTAGTACCGGTAATCCGTCAAAATGCTTCCAACATTATATTTTACATCTTAAAGAGGCAAAGCTCATTGTCATTTGTTCAGAATGTAGTTAAAAGAATACCAGCGTTGATAAAAGATTTGATGAAGGAAGATTCAGATTCTAGTAAAGAATGCATACAGAATTTGGTCGACATCATGAAAGTCTACAGCAAGAGATTTTCTACTTATATGCCATATGGCAATACAGAGAACTATCCTTATCCTGTACTACCGCGAATGCATGTTGTCAAAGAACTTTGCAGAGAGCCAGTGTGGATAGACGAGACAAAAGAGTTTGAACCAATTGTGGAACCAGAAAGGCCATTGTCTGGAAAAGTTGGACTGTCCAACCTGGGAAATACTTGCTACATGAATAGTGTACTACAAGCCTTATTAATGACCAGACAATTTTGTCAAGAAGTATTGAACTATCGTCCTTTAAATGAATCAGGTAAAACACCCTTGTTGGAGAGACTTCAAAATTTGTTCGCATTGTTATTATATTCTAAGAGAATATGTTTGGCACCGACTGAAATATTACGAGCATCGCGGCCAACATATTTTTTGCCTGGACAGCAACAGGATAGCTCAGAATTTCTCTGGTTAGTATATTGTTTTGGTTGTATTATTTTTACCTGAAATTATAATTAAAAAATTCTATTTGTTACATTATATATAAATTACATCATGTATAAATGCAAATTAGATATTAATAAAATTTGTAAATAAAATAGCAAAATTATATTTATTCTCTCTTTTTCTGTATATATAAATTTTTAACTATATATAACTACTAATAAAACTTTTTTTGTAGTCATCTTCTGGATGTCCTGCATGAGCAAGAAAAATCTGCCAATTCAAACTGTGGAGGGAATGATAGCGCAGCAACTCTTAAATGTAAAATTGAAAAGCAAGAAGATGACGTAACATTGCCGATGGAGCCAACAAAAAGTAGTATTAAACGTTGGACAACTGAAGAGGATCTAACAGAAGGCTTGGCTTTACAAAGGAAAACACAATCATTGGCGGATTTTACACGAGGTAATTTTCGTTTATATATGATTGAATAAATTATAAACATGCTCCCGAAATCTCCCAATTTTACTGTTTATATTTACATCACAGTTAGGTGATACATTTTGTATTTGAATTGAATATTTTGAATGTCTTTGTAACAGGTGAAGAACTAGGACAACGGCTTAGCGATTCTCATTCGGATTCAACTGACAGCGGTATACAATCTGTAGGCGGTGAAGAAACAGGCACTTACACGTCTCTTGTGCACAGAGTACTAGGTGGAGAGTGTCAGATCACTTATCAATGCGCACAATGTGACACTAGCTCTCGCAATACGGACAAATTTCGCGACCTGCAGTTGTGTTTTCCCGAAGAGATACAGGAGAATCAAGAAGTTTCCGTTCAAGATCTCATTAACTATTATCTCACGCCGGAGAAACTTACGGGGGAGAACAAGTATCGATGCGACAAGTGTACAAAATTATGCGACGCGCAGAGGATTATTACGATCTTACAAGCACCCGCACATTTGATTTTAACGCTGAAACACTTCCGATATGATTTTGATTCTCGATTAAGGACAAAACTTCGGCATAAAGTAGTATATAATGATACTATACAGTTGCCAGTATCGGCGATACCATATACCGTAGCCGAAACGTATCACTTATATGCTGCTGTCGTACATTCTGGATATAGTATGGATTATGGACACTATTTCACGTATGCTTGTGACTCTAAGCAGAATTGGTATAAATTTAACGATAGTTTTGTAACCCAAACCACGTTTGAGGACTTCAAGAGTTTGAAACCTCCTGATACACCCTATATATTGTTCTACGAAAAGTCGGGAGCTCATGATGGGATCTATGAAGACGATAAGCCCGAATTGTCAACTTTAAGTAAACGTTTACAGGAATTAGTAGCGAATGACACTACAGATTACATAGAGGAGCTCAGACGTCGAGCGATAGCGTCACAGCGTAGTCAACTTCCAACAAAACCTTTGAGACAGCATAATAATACCGATGATGATAATCCGCCACCCAGTAGTTGTCGCGGTGCAATCGACGTTCCGGCGAATCGCTTTCTTTATTGAAAGAAGGAATCTGTTACACACAAACCGCGATAA